GGTAGCAGTGATACAGCTCTTGATGGTGTCAGTGATGATAAGACAGGGCCGGTGATAACAAAGCTGGTAGTGGTAGTATGAGCCTGGTGGTGGTAAAAAGTGTCAATGAGGGCAACGACAATGGTGATGGCACTGGGTACAGTGTCGGAGGTGATGAAGATGATGGCGATGATAGCTCGCAGTTGTGTGATGCTGGTGGTAGTGGTCATGATCACAGGGATGATCGTGGTGGTGGTTACACGGCCTTTGAGACACAGAAGTAGTGGGTCCCTCCACTGAGGACCTCCAACCACCAGGTTCCATCCACAGAACACTCTAATTGCCCTAACAGCTGGGCCCAGCCCTCACCCTATAGAGTTAAAAAGTCCAAGCTCCGGACTTGAAATTTCATCAATTCCCATCCTGGAAATCTCCACTACCACCCCCCAAGAAATCCTTTATAAACCCTGCCTTTAGGTCAATTCTCTGCTGCTTCTCACCCAAGCAGAGGCAGCCACCCTCCTGGGATTTTCCCTCCCAGTAAATCTCTTGTGTGAAATTTGTTGTGCGTGGATACTTTGTGGTATTCCTTGGCGCCCAACTGCCAGGATACCTTTCGCTTCAGAGTTGTAATACTTACATTGGTCCCTAATCAGCTATCTGCCACGAAAGTCACACACCTCAGATAGACCTCAAATCTATTTGTGTTCTCCATGTAGATCTGTACTTTATGCCTAAAGAGATTTTTATTGCCTAAAATATGTTGTCCCTGTTTGGCAGCCTGCCACACCCAGTCCCAAAGGCATGCTTCAGGGCAGTCCTTCTCAGCACAAATTGATTTGGGCAATGTCTGAACACTGCTCATACCTGAGTGCATGTCTAGTTGTCAACATGGAGAGCAGACTGCTACTGACATCCCACAATCAACAGAGTCGCAGCCTGACCACCACAGAGACTTTTAGGACCAAAAGTATCAGTAATGCTGAGGTTGCGAAAGCCTGCTAGAAACCACGTTAGTCCTCCTTTTTGCCCCGTTAAATGAGACAACCCCACCAGCCACAGATATACATGAGCAACAAAGAAACTGCAAAGAGATTATGTGTCTGCGGATTCTGGACAGATGCCCTGGGATCTCATCTAGGACAGAATTATCCAGAGGTACGCAGATATAAAATGGCTTTCCCCTTCCCATAATCCTTCACTGCGTCAACGCCATCAACTTGAGCGGGTTTGCTACAAACAGCTCAGCCTGGTTTCTCACATCTGAGCCCCCAACCGAGTTCAGGGGAAACTTCAGTCTGTTTGACAAGTGTAAGCTTCTGGCAAGGGCTATTTAAGATGGAGGCATCCTCCGAGGAAGAGGCATCCACACAGCCATGGCCGGTGTGATCCCAGCAGCGGTGGAACAGAGTCTGACCTTGTGAAGGCTGGAGCCTGGTGGAGAAGGGAGCAGCGCTAATTTCTGACGACTGTCGAGTGAGAGCTACTTTGGGCTGAGTTGTAGGGAACTGGAGATCTATAAACCTTTTTATGTGCCGCTGGAAAGGAGCTGGCATTGTTTCCAGAGACTTTCTCAGGCGAGAGGAGAGAAACAAGAGACTGAGTGACAGTCGGGCGAGGACTAAGTTTACCTTTTATTAACAGGCTCATAATGCTACTTTAAAAAAATAAATTAAAGCTAGAAAAATATCTTTGGATTTACTGCCTGAAGGGAAGGGGGTGGCAGCCTTGCAGATCAACCAACCCTGTTGTGACATTGCAGAGATGTGCTCTTGCAAGATCAGCGGAATGTCCAGAGGTTGTGAAGCATACCCCAGGGCGGGCTGTTCTTGCGCTTTGACCCTGAGTAATTGGCACCTGCAGTGTGCGGAACTGAGTGAGGCCTGAGATGGGGAGCCCTCCACAGCCCAGGCGGTATTCTACAGGAGTAGCCACTGGGAGCTCATTCCTCATCATTCAACTAGACCCTGAGTCAGAAACCTGTAAATCACCCTGACAGCTCCCAGGTGGTTGCGCCCCTAGGCCAGTCCTAGGACTCCTCACTAATCTGGATGTGAGCCTGAGAGCCTGGCAGCATTCTGCAGTTTTTCCCTGCCTCCCTCACCATGCCCTCTTCCCCGACTCCCAGCTTCTTTTCTCCTTTATTTCTGTCCATTTTTCTCCTTCCCTCTCCCCTTTCTTTTCTTCTCAAGGAATTTCTGCTGCTACCAGTGAAAAGATGGAAATGTAATTATGCCATCTATCGCTGGTAATTCCGAGGGGCTTCCCACTGTACCTAACCAAGTGCTCAAGCACAGAACACACACACACACACACACACACACCTCCCATTCACAGCTCGACCCAGCTCTAATACCATTCCCACTGGCTCGTGTTCAACCTGACACCACCTAGAACAATCTAGAGGAAACTCTTAATGGGGAATTACCTGGATCGAGGCTAACCGCAGGCGTGTGCGTGGAAGATTGTCTCCATTGTTAATTGAGGAGTGAAGACCCACTTTGAAAGTGAGCAGCACCATTTCATGAGCGGGGCCCTGACCTGTGTAAGAACAGAAAAAGACTGAGCACCAAGAGAACAAGGAGCCATGCATTTATTCTCTCTCTGCTCTTGACTGTGAATATGAGGCTTTAAGTTCCTGCCTTGACTTCCCAGAAATAATGGGATAAAGCCTATTGTGTGCAGGCATATCTACAAGATAAAGCCTTGGAAGTCAGATAAAGTCTTTCCTCTCTAAGGTAATTTGTGTCATATTTATCATGGCCACAGAAAAGAACTCAAACATTGCACACACATGCCACCTCTTGCCATTCCCATGCACGGTGTGCTACCTTTGCCCTCTGTGCATGATTATTGTGACCTAACATCTAGTAAATGTTTTCCTCTATAGGGAAAAAATTTCTAATTCATTCATTGAATTCTCAAAAGACTCAAATGAGGCTGACCCTGCTACCCTATTTTCCAAATATAGAAAGAGAGGTTTGAGAACTACAATGACTCGCTAAGATGGCATCACATTATGGAAGGAATTTGAACCCGGTTGTGACCAGTGGTATAACTGAGTGGTTCTACTTCCACATCTGTATCCTGCACTGACCGTCTCTCCCTTGGAAACTTTCCCTACGTTCAGGACAACTGTTTGCTTTTCCTGATAAACTCATACTCTAATATGTGTGCCTCCTGATATTATTTCATTTTACTTCATGCAACAACATATTGAATACCCAGACCATCATCGAATTGACAGTACGGTATTGAGTAAGACCCAAGCCCCAGAATGTGCTGGCTCCTGGATTTGAATCTCTGAAACCAGCACCGAGTCCTAGGAACTGAGCCCCTGAGACCTGGCATAGCCTTTGTGAGAAAACAAGTTTTCTGACTCCATTTGAAGAGTAGGCTAATGAAGACAATGTCGGGGAAGATGACATCTTCTTATCGGCCTTCCATCTTGGAAATAATTGTGAGGAAATGTTCCCTGAGAGGCTGTCTATAGCCACGATTACTGTCCGGATCACCCATGAAATCAATTGTTTTCCTTATTACTTCTTTTTGTTGTTCTCAGATTTGAACCCAGGGCATCATATAAGCTAGGTAAGAAACTTACAACTGCTTCTGTAGCCCATTTTCTTTATATTTTGTTTTATTTTCGATACAAAAATCTAACTAAGGTTTGCCTTAAACTTTCAATCCTCAGCATCACAAGGAGCTAGGATTACTGGTCTGTGCCCACAGAAGCGGTTCCATAAATGTTTATTGGGCTCCTAATAAACACTTTGCATTGTGCTACATGATAGAGATAAGCTAATGAATAAATGCAACTTTGACCTTAACTGGAATATCTAGAAGAAGAACTAAAGGCAATTCTGGTAGAGTCCTAAGTAGCTGTAATGGGACAAGCAGAGAGTGCCAGGGGATTATTTACTAGGAGTAAAGAGCTTCGGGCTAAGGTCATATGGATATGCTCAATCATATGCAAGGCATAGAAGGCTTCCTATAGAAAGTGATATCTGAGCAAAGACTTGAAAGATATGGTGAAATTAGTTAATTCAGCATGTGCATGTGTGTGTACATGCAGACACACATGCACACTTACATGTGCACACACATAAACACAACTACATATGTGCAAGCTAGCATGCATACACACCTGGGAAAAGGATTGAGAAAGGTTTGTTAGGGACAGGTGAGGTGGCTTCATGGGTAAAAGTGTTTCTCTCCAAGTCTGACAAAATTTAGTTTGATTCCCAGGACCCACATGGTGGAAGGAAAGAACTGATCCCTACAAGCTGTCTTCTGACCTCTATAGCTGCATCCCCAATAAATAAATAAGATAGAATTTTAAAGGGAGAGGTGTTCTAGGCACCAGCATATATGCAGGAGAGGGAGAATGGAAAATGGTCATTACAGTTTGTGCCTTTGCTCAACACACAAGACAGGCCAGAACTGAAGCCTGGCCAAGACTTGCTTCTGTGTCCTCTGAAGAGCTTCCATTTTACCAGAGGGGTTGGTGAGCTCATTCTATAATTCTTAGAGAGGGGGAGAGAGGGAGGGAGGAGAGAGGGGAGGGAGAGGGGAAGGGAGGGAAATACTTCATGGGAGAAGAATGAGATTCACGGTCTACCAAATACAAAGGGTTATTCCACACGATTGAAGACAGAAATGCAGCACAGGAAATGGGCTGGCATCCTAGTGGCCCTTCATGTGTTGCCACCACTGAAGACTTTGTTAGAATGTTTGTTTTAAATTCATTGTGTCCTTGTGAATGTGGGGGATCTTGGTGATCATATGGACACCTCACCTGCCTCATGGACCTCTCTAGTTATTTTATTTTCCTGATACACTTTTACTCCTTGTCATTTTTAAAAAATAAATTCATTTTTAATGCCCAGTATTGGATAATACTGATCATATTAAGCCAAAAACATATAAATCAGCTACTGGAGTGGGCAGAGAAATGGATGACTAAAAGAAGATTCAGTGTCGGTCTCAGCTTGGGCTTACCTTACCTTGCTTATCTTACCTTGCTTTTCAAAAGAACGATGAACTCCAGAAATGCTTGGAGTCAAAAGCAGCCATGTTAAAGGGACAAGGAGGATGGTAAGGACACATCCACAAGGTCACAATCACTTCATTGTCTTTCAAACAATCTTCTCCTCATACCCTCCACTGTTCAAAGTACAGCAAGCTTATCCACAGCGTCAGATGACATGAATTGAGTACCAATCGCTTGCCAAGTCCTAGAAAATCAGAGATATGTGTCTCCGTTCAATGTCATTGAAGATCTCAACATCTAATCCATGAACAACTAAAACTGGATTAAAGGAAATAAGTTTTAAGTAGTCATTATCCTACATAACACCCTTTAAGTCTGCTTTGTAACATGAATTATTTCTTTTAATCCTCACAGCGGTCCCAGAAGGTAAGTTTCTACTGTGTCCTTTTTCTGAGGGAGGAAACAAGTTCTTAGAGTCTAGTGAGGTCTAGCTGACCATTATGGAAGAGTGAAAGAGGGGCAGAAAATCCCTCAGTACCCAAGTCAACCCCTCATCTCTCTTTCTGTATGTACATGCATGCATGCATTTGTGTGTGTGCATGCGCACGTGTGCGTGCGTGCGCATGCGCACATGTACGCACATGCATATATCTTCATGAATCCAGAGGCCAGATATTAACATCAGGTATCTTCCTCAGTAACTTTCCACCTTAGTTTTTAAAATAGTCTCTCACTGAACCTGGAGCTCATCAGCTCAGCTAATCATGGGCATCCTCCTGTCTCTGACTCACTGGCTCTGGGATTATAGGCACAGCTACCCTTCCCAGCTTTTACATGGTGCTGAGTATAAACTTGGGTCCTCATGGTTGTCCAGCAAGTATTTTACTAGCTGAACGTCTCCCCAAACTGCTTAGCTCCTACTCAGGGGAATGTGAGAGCTCCAGATGTGGCATGGAGGAGAAGGGGAAGAGACTGGGAGGCCATAATGACAGCCCCAGCGTGTGGCCGCTGTTCTCTCGCTGTTGTGGGGGCTGGAGAAGAAGAATAGAGAAAAGAGGTCGCTACTGATACACATCAGTGAAATACGTAAGCAGCTGACAATGACAAGGGAAAGAAGGCTACCATATCTGCACTCTCCCAAGAACAGGACAGGCAGGCACGCATTCACCCCTAAGCAGAAAGGATGGCCCCTGTGTCTGTTTCAAAGGTTTCTCGAGTTTTCTGCATTGCAGGCACAGTGTGGGAAGCCCTTCTTCAGCAACACCCTGCATAATCTGCCCTCCCTCTCTGCTACACCGCACTCCTGTTATTGCACACAATCCCACCAACCTCCCACTCTGCATGCTTCATCTCTTTCCTGCTTGCCTCAACCCAACTGCCAGGTTTCTTTATTCTCATCACTCCAGCCTCAGCTAGAATTTGACTTACAAAGAAAAGTTTGCCCTGAAGTCTTCCCTCCTGCCGTCCCAGAGACCTACAGAGAAAGAGAAAGACAGGGACTAATTTTATTCTTGTGTCTAACATTATGAAAAATTCTTGGGTGCTTGAAGGAATAAACATTGCAAGAATTTGGTATGTGCAGAAGCATAGAACTCCATTTCCATGGAAAGGATCCAGACAAGCAAAGTACTGACTCACCCCAAGAACAATCTACCCTGAGCTGAGGGGGAGGGTGATGCTGGCAAGGACAACAGCAGATGCTGGACTGAAAATGACCCATCTTGACATCTGAAGGCTACCAAGGGAGATGTTGGGACTGGAGGACAGGCAAAGCAGAAGTAGCAGGACAGAGTTCATTTAGAAGTGACTTTACATATTAAGGCAATTTCCGGTATAATTCAGGAGTCTGATGGGGGGTGGAAGGGTAATGGAAAGAAGAACCCTTTAAAAGTGCTGAAGACAGAGCAGAATCCATAATTCCATCTCCAGGTAATGGTAGTTGAAATTGGTTGTCCCTGATTTGAATAATCTTGATGGCATCGTTATTTTTAATTGTGATTAGTGGTCTTAATGTGCCAATAAATAAGACAAGAGAGAAGGCACAACCTTGCCTTGTCCCGCCGATGATTTGGAGGCTGCTGGAGGCAGGCAGGCTCGGGACAGGCAGCGCCACCACCCTGACAGTATTTCAGAACTGAAGGATGACTTTCAAGAGCGTTTGAGACAGAACGCTGAGGAGTAAATTTCCTCCACTCCAAGGTCAAGCAATTCCACCAAAAACAAACATAAAGAACACCGGTCCTGCGCATCCGGACAGTAGATTTCCGGCGGGAGACGGTCTGACCCAGAAACCAAGTGCTGGGGTGGAGAGCGGCACTCCAGGCTCCGCTAACTGGTTTGTTAGCAGAACTGCTTAGCTCTGAAGCAAGACACCAGCACAGCGGCCCAATGGAAGGTTCATCCCTGAATATTTTGAATATATTCTTAGTACTAGGAAAAAATGAGGTGGTAAAGTAGGTAGGTGAGACAGGAATCCCAGAACCAAGACGGCTGGCAAACCAAGACTCCCCTGCTAGCAACAAGTACATCTCCAATAAAACTCTGCCCCAGAGAAATGTTATTTTTCTGGGGCTGCCATACTTTAGTAACACACACTAAGTGAATTGAGACAATACATTTTCTCAAATCTCCCAGAGTCCAGAAATCTGAAATCAGCCCTGAAGCCAGTCTCCTAGCTTCACATTGTGGCTAATGCTCCCAGGCTTGGAGACTCCCCACCAGTCTCTGTCTCCATGATCACATAGTTCCTGGCCCTTTGTGTGTATGTCTTCATATGCCATTCTCCCCTGCATATCTACCCATTTATGTATCACTACAACTTTAATGGCACGGATTATCCTGGATTCTGGGCCCATTCCTCGAGTACGACCTCAGCTTACGTCTAAATTATATCCACAGAGACTGTATTTCCAAAGGAAGGTACACACATAACAATATTAGATTAATCATTTGTTTGGGGAGAGTATGGTTCTACCCTCAACAGGAAATAAACTGTTATGGTGAGAAAAAAGACTAGAAGAGAAAAGAGAGGGGAAGGAGGGAAGGAAAGAAAGGGAGAAAACAGGGAGAGGAAACAAAAGAAGAAAAAGATGGGGAGGAAGGAAAAGAGGTAAGATGTTCCATGGTGCTTAACATGGAAGTTTGTAGACATTTCCCACTTTTTGAAGAACCTATTTAGTCCAGCAAAAAGACTATTAAGTTAATAAACTTTCCTCAGTTCAGTAAGTCTATTGGCTTATGTCACACTACATCAAAATTACTGCTGAGTGTCACTCTGGTGTTAGACAATAGGAATGGGTACAGTCCCTCCATTCAGTCCAGTCCAAACAAGGCTCAGAGAGGCTAAAATTTCCAGAGCTTATGGCAGATGTGCTTTTAATCCAGAGACTGGCTTTCATTATACCGTAGTACTTTTCTAAATTTTAACTTCAGTGACTGAGTGGTCGAATAAAACAATGTATCGGTGGAGGAGCTGTCCACTCACTCATATAGGAGTCGTCAATGTTCCTGGAGGTATTCTGAGAACTGCAATAATAGAAAGGTAATTGATCTATTTGTACCAAAGTTTAGCACAGATTCGATCATGGTGTTCCCAGATAAGGTCCAATACCTTCAAATATCAAGTCACTTGATTAAAAACAGTCCTTTTACCAACGGAGCTGTGTCTCCAGATCTACATAGCTGTAGTCAGTTGATCTTTGAATTGCCTAGCCTATTGCTATTTAGTTTGCTTGAGATGCTGGAGCAAAGACCACAAGGTGGCTGGCTTAAACCCCACACTTTTTTCCTTACAATTTTAGAGATCTCTCCAAGGTCAAGGAGTTAACAAGGGTAGTTCCTACTGAGCTATGAGGAAACTGCCTCTCTCCTAGATTTTTAGACAGCCTTCTCCTTCCAGTCTCTTCCCACTGTGTACACGTATTCTCTCTCCTTCTCCTTCTCCTACTTCTTTTGAGGATACTCACCATTCTGAATTAGAGAGCACCAAAAGATCTCATTTTAAGCCACCTCTTTAAGGACTCTTTGCCCCAGTATGGTTCCATTCTGAAACCCTGGGTATTAGGATATCAATAGAGGAATTTGGAAAAGACAATTCATCCCATAACACTGTTTTTACTCGTACCACAGAGACCTAAGGCAAGATCATTTAATCAAGTTTTAGATAATTCCAATGAATGTTCGGCTTCATTCATTTAGGCCCCTGGTCTCATGTTTCTCAATACAAGAAATAATTACAAGTCTAAGATATTAAATTTCTCAGTTAAGGAGAAATTATAGATCTCTTCTCCCAAGCTACACATAGTCCTAAGGAAACTCTGGACTTCAAGTTCAAAGTCAGGGAACTAAATATATGTAGAAGCTGTGTGAAAATTTGCTGGGCCTTGAAGGATGTGTCGAGGAGAGTGGTGAGGAGAAACGGCAACAGAAAGTAGAACACAGATGACCAGAGGCCGAAAGTCCACTTTTTCCTTCTTTGCTTTTAAGGATCTTGGAAATGGAATTTATATTACTAGATTTGACAAAGGAAGTGCTGAGCCTTTCACACGCCATTAAGATTGTGTGTGTGTGTGTGTGTGTGTGTGTGTGTGTGTGTGTATGAGAGAGAGAGAGAGAGAGAGAGAGAGAGAGAGAGAGAGAGAGAGAGCAGGTACACCGGTACCACAGTGCAGAGGTGCAGAGGTCAAGGGACAGCAGCCTAGGTGAGTCTTTGGCTTCTGCCTTGTTTGAGGCAGAGCCATTTGCTCTCATGCAGCACACTAGCCGACCTGAGTTCTGGGCATTCTCCCATCGAAGCCGCCCAGCTCACCTTAGGAGTGCTGAGGCTACAGATGCATGCTGTCATGCCCAGCTTTCTCTGGCTTCTGGGGACCCCAACCCAAGTCCTCACTCACACTTACAAAACAAGAGCTTTATCCACTGAGCATCTCCCCAGGAGGGTAGACAGAGGGCCCTATGCCCCATTGTGAGGCCGCTTCCCATCTTTCAAGGGAATGTCTCCTCTTCCGATGTGTCTGTTCTCACCAATTATCACACTAAGCTAATGGAGGGGAGTTAACAGGAAGTGTCAGAGAGTTTTATAAAATTATCGTGTCAGCTCTCTTCCTGTCAGTGTGCATAAGGGAAGGAGACAAGAAAATGATATTGTCATTTAATAGTTCACTTCAGATCTTCATCTCTTATCACTCATGATTACTCTACATTAATGGCTCTGTATTGGCAATCTCTGCCTGTCAGTTATTCCATAACAGATCTCACCGAGATTGTAGCTGGGCAACTTTCATTAGGAAGCAATTTGAACTGAATTTAACTTGGGGAACACTAACAGACTAGGGCCATTACATCTCCCCAGTTCCTTGCTTTTAGGAATTTCTCCTTCTTCTAGCCAAGGAGCAGGCAGTCAGAGACAAGTGGAGAAGAACATGGTCCTTGAAGACATAAAAGCTTGGACCCTGATGATGTCACTACCTGAGTTACTGTCCTAAATGTACCAGTTCACATTGGGAGTCTCAGTTTCCGAGTGCACAGAATGGTCATCATGACCGTCTTCAGGGGATCGTTGTGGGGCTTGTGATACAAGTAAAAATGTTTGACATGTTGCTCAGCCCTAAGTTGGTACCCATCTATGGCGCCTATCAGACTTTCAATTAGTATAAACTGGGTGAGGAAATATTTTACTGGTAACCCCTTTCCAAAATAATGTCCAGTCCTCTCATTTTTCCCAACAGGAAGGAAGCAAAGCGCTTATTGAATTCTTGCTGTATGTACCTGGCTCCTACTACATGCATGTGTGGTATCTATTAGAGCAGTGGTTCTCACCATCCCTAATGCTACAACTTTTTAATACAGTTCCTCATGTTATGGTGACCCCTTCAAACATAAAATCATTTCATTGCTACTTCACAACTAACTTTTCTACTGTTATGAATCTTAATATGAATATGTGCTATGTAGAATATCTGATATGTGACCCCTACAGAGGTTGGCACCTATAGGTTAAGAGCTGTTGTACCAGAAGTTTCTTAATGCACCATGCCTCTCCAGCCTCAGAGGTTATTCTTTCTGCTTGCATATTCTAGACCCTCCTAACCCTGATGATCGCCAGGAATGGCGTTTTCTCTGAGTTTAATGTCCCTGGAAAGACCCTCCCTGATCCCCCTTGACACCAGTTGCCACGACTTCTTCTTTTTCGTTGTTGTTCTTTTGTTTTTATTTGGTTGGTTGGTTTATGTTTCTGTTTTTTTGAGACAGGGTTTCTCTGTGTAGCCCTGGATGTCTGGAACTCATTCTGTAGATCAGGCTGGCCTGGATCACACATAGATCTGCTGCCCCTGCCTCCCAAGTACTGGGATGAAAGGCATATGCCACCACTGCCCTACTAACCATGGTTTCTTCCAGCCCCTATCACAGTTGTAATTACACATATGACATCAACATGGGCTGCTTATCTCTTCCACAGACCACAGCCTCCAGGAA